TTAATTTGTCCATTTAGAAAAATATTATACAACAATAGTTACTCAAAAGGCCAAAGCCGGCCTAGGGCGGGCACCAACCCTACTTATCTTTCCTTCCACGCTCTCTCTCTCTGCTGATCCGATCAGACCAACACAACAACACAATGGTCGGAATGAGAAGAGATCGAGTCGGCGGCGAGTTCCTGGAGTCGATCTACTCAGTCCTTGTGCTCGCCCTTGTCCTCCTGGCCTGCGTCGAGCTCGGCGACGCCGCCACCGCCGTCGACGTCTACCGCCTGATCCAGTACGACATCGCCGGAGTCCCATTTGGATCTCGCCTCGCCGGTCTCAACCACCACGCCGGCTCTTCCTTCTCTACAACCAACGCTGATCTCTCTCGTACCGCTCTAATACTTCCTGTGCGCGAACTCAACCTCACGCTTCTCAATGGTAATCCTAAACAATTAATTAAATCGCGCTTGCCTATAATTTACTCAACACGGATCCATCTAGCTCTCGAAACTATGCACGTGTACTTTTCAATAATGTTTTGCTTGCTATTTCACAGCCTATTCTTGCACGGTAGACACTTACCCTTTTTCTTATGATTAAGGGCTTGTTTGGTTAGAATTAAAGATTTTCAAGCACTGATTTAATGTGTAATATTCAAGTGGGATTTAGAAAGAACAATGAACTAAAGCAAAATTGATGCAGAGAACATATGTGACATGATCCAAACATCCTTATCCACCCCCTCCCATGGAGCACACATTAATTTTCAGCTTGATGACATATATGGCTGTTGATACACCTTAAATAATACTATCCATTAAAACCATTTATGTTTGAGTGTCATTTCTCTAGAGTACTATAAACTTTCAGCTTTTGTTGGATAACCTAAATGATCGTGACATGTTAGATTGAGCATAATGATGTAAAAACGAAACAATAATAAACATATGTATTGGGCAAGAAGTGCAACGTAATGATGAAATGATAATAATTAATGAAACTACAATAAAGCACTACAACAAGCAACGGTCATTTGTTATCAACAATGCTAAATCTATATTGCTGAATTTATACCCATAAAGTAATAATTGCTCTCTATGTTGACCAAACAGCTTAAATGACAAGGGCTTTGTTGTTTGTAAAATTGCTTTCGACGATAAGGATTATTAAGGTACTAAAGACAATGCCATCAAATTTTGCCAAGTGTATAAATGAATGGCGTACAAATGCGGGCCAAATACTTATTGCTATTTTATGGCATTAAATATTGCCTTTAAATTGCTCTCCAATTAATGTTTCTAAGTCAAGGTAATCATTAAGTAGCTCAACTTCTGCCAAATTTCAATCGTTCTTCATCTCTGATTTTGACATATTCAAATATCTATTATCACTTTGATATCATTCTATAAGGTTATGTAATATTGTGCAAACAATAACAATATCTCCCTATAATTTCAATCAAAATGGCCGCATGAGTGTTAGGATATAATTTATCTTATTCCAGGTTGCAAATGTCCTCTAAATAATTCTTCTAAGATGACCTTATGATTGTATATATCTCAGACATTGTTAAATTTACATTCCACCCTACTATGATAGTTGGTAACATGGTAATTATAGCCTATAAAAGGTGCGAGAAACATATTTATATTCCATATTCTGAGTCTACAAAGAAATATTGGCAAGTTTGAACATGAAACCTTCCTTTTCTAAAGTTTATCACATTTTACGCACATCTTCTATCGAGCTTTCTCATTTTGATGCTACATATGGACAATTTTCTATCAAATGAGACAACAACCATGCAATATTTAAAATTTTGCAATTGGATATTGAGGATAGGCGAGGCGCAAGCCTTGAGGTAGAATGAGGTATAAGCCTCATAATTTGAAAATTTCCTAGTGAAAATAACCGGCGCACTATAAAAGACATATTAACATCGTTCAGTAGAAAGTAATAAACTACACAAAGTATCAAACACACAAAATAAGGTTAGCATGAACTCCTATTGTCCAACTTAATATTAGGAGAGAAAGCAAGAAGGCACTGCTTATATGTGAAAGCCTTAATGAGGTTGAAGTTATTGAGAAATTGAGGGTTTCAACAAAGGGAAGAATGCTACTTGAGGAGAGGCCCAATGTAATGTAGAGAAGGCATGACAAGGAAAGATGAGAAACAGAGAGAGCAATAGAGTTATAGGGCGAGGGGGAGACCGATGCGAGAGATTAGAAATTGCCAAATTGAGTAAATCATATCTTTTTCAGGATTTGTTAAATTCGGTTAAATATTGATTTTTTAGCTCCCACTTTAAGATCCCTTTTCAAACCTTCTGGCAAGTTTCACTCCAAACAGTACCTAAATTGTACTCGCCACAGGTTACCAAATAGCCCCCATGGTTGTCCTTTTCATCTTCTAACATTCTGATTCAATTTTTAAAAGCTGAAAAGTAAAGAATATTTATCCTTTTCTTATTTTTCTTGTTCTCCATTGAAGTATTTTATTTCCTCACTCCACAATCAGAGTGCTGGTTTAACATACATAAATTAACTTAATATTGTAACAAGTCGGTACTGTCTAGCAACTGCAATTCGTTGAATTGCTGTGGTAGAACAACATATCTTACAATTTTTTCACCAAATGTTGGAAAAAAGGGCTTTTTTAGATGAGTGGGGATGGGTGTGCTTGGGATCTGGATTCAAATCTCACTGTGATGGCGGCCATCCAATTCAAGGCTTCTTTGATTTATGTATTTCTGCACTTTTTTCTTGATGTATTTGCAAACTTATTTTTCTAGGAACTGACAATAAAGAGCTATTTTCAAGGTAATGTTTATAGCCATGATTCTGGTATTTTTGGCTTATCCTATTTCAGAGTTTATTACTAGGAAACAACCACTGGGTGGATTGTTGCTTTTGCTTCCTCAAAGAACTGGCTCCAGTGAATCTGGCGGGAGAATAACAAGTGACAAAGTAAATGGTGATAGTCTAACGAGAAGCATTTTGTTTGAGTTGGAAAAATTGCTCATACATTCATATATTCCTGTAAGTAAGATTTACCATTCGGAGTTTTGAACCTGCTGCTTTTCTACTATTCTCCAACAACTGAAACTTCCATTATTTTTAGGAATATTTGCATACACACCACTCAATTCCTGTGTATTTAAATATCTAACACTTAAACTTGAATTTTTACAGACATGCCACCTTGCCTATGCATGAAAAGATGTATTTCACTTCTTAAAAGTTAAAATTGGTATTTTTAATGTAGTAGGAAAGATTTGGGCGGCATTCTTGTAAAAATCAAAGCTTAGCTGCTAGATATGTAAATTCATAGGAAATGGGTGGTATGTATGTAAATGGCCCTATTTTTATTCGTTGGATTATGTTACCATATCCTGAAGTTGATCAATCTACCTTCCATGCTGACACTCATTATTTTTTTGACAACAGTTGATTCTCCAGATTGCATATTTGTGCTAATAAACTTTTATGTTTTATCACGTTTGTCTGCTATTTTTTTATTATATATTATAGCCATCTAACATTCTGACCCCAAAGTTTGGTTTTGTACTGATTTGTTGTCTACTTGTAATTTCATCATATCTGTAGAAGTCAGGAATATTTATTTTACACGTATAAATAAATTTGTGTAATGTAAAAAAAATCATAAGATGAGACTGGCGTAATAATTGTATATAAAAAAAAAGGTTCGATTAGGTCGGTTCGAAGGAGGCAATTGTCTCAACGAATTTGTTTTAAGAAGTTTGAGTGTCCCACTCGAAGCAAAGAGACGAACTAGATGAGAGAATGAGAGCAGGAGCCAAAAAGATGAATGTGGGGTCACAATTTTCTCATACCAAATATTTAATGCCATTTACAGAAGTTGATGCCAAGGGCTTCGGGCAAATACGAGAAGAGGATGGTTGTTTGTATGAGGGAAGCATGCTGCTTATATGTAGGAGAAAGGGTCGAACCGAGTATTAGTCTTGCTGCATCCAAATCAGAGGTGTAAGTGCTCGTGTAGAGTACTCGTGCGGGATGAGATCTTTTGTGAAGGAAGAAGCATAGTGGTGCCTTGGCATGTGGAAAGTACGGCCTCATATCGAACTGAAGGGGAGGAAAGGGTGAGAACACGTGTATAAGGGAGAAGAGGAGACATGAATTTGGGTTAGTCAAGCCTAATTGAACAGTTATAAGGTATGCTGCGGCTTAAGGTTATTTAGATTTTATTTAAATTAATTGAATTGTATTTAAAGCATTAATATGGATTTTTTTAAACTAAAATCATAAAGCAGGAAGGGCATGTGGTTTGGAATCGAGGAAGAATCAATGACAATGAATGATGGGATAAAGATGTATGGCTAGTTTATTTATATTAAGCTTTATTAGATAAAATATTAGATTTTATTAAATATTTCTGAAATTTAGGAGAATTTAATTGATATTTACAAATGCAGAATCCTAAAGGAATTGTTGACTATGCAATAAGAGAAATTGAGGTAAATTTCTATTATGCATCTAATTTATGTTTAAATACTTAATTCTAGGATAATGTTAAATTTAAGAAATATATTAGGGTTTTTGATTAGAATGATTGACCGAAGAAAGAGTAACTTAAAAATTGTATAGAATAAAACAATTAAAGATTAAGTGGCTGCAAGAATCATAAAAAAAAATAAGTTGAGCAATTATATTTTGATTTTATAGTAATATTTCTTTTGAAGCTATCTTTTATTTTAGTTTTTTTCTCTTTTATGCTCTATATTAATGAAATTAAATTACAATTGACTTCATATTGATATACATGATATATGCATGCATATATTTTTATATAAATAGTGGCATAATAGTTTTATTTTTTATAAAATGATATTTTTTATAGAATGATATTACAACTGACTCTTCATTTTGATACACATGGTGCCTCAAGTCTCCTATTCTTCCCTTGCTGCTCTACTTCGACTTCACCCCTCAAACACACGAGCACTTCCACCTTTGATTTTGACGCAACAAGACTAGCGCTCGGTTCGCCCCTTTCTCCAGCATACGAGCCACATGCTTTTCTCGTACGAACGACCATCCTCTTCTTATTCAGGCACAAGCCCTTGGCATCAACTTCTGCAAATGATATTAAATCTTTGGTAAGACAAAAATTTGACCCCACATTCTTCTTTTTGGGCCCTGCTCTCATTCTCTCATCTAGTTCGTCTCTTTGTTTCGAATGGGACACTCAAACTTCTTAAAACGAAATCGTTGAGACGGTTGCCTCCTTCGAACCGACCTAATCGAATCTTTTTTTTATATACAATTATTACGCCAGTCTCATCTTATAGCCTTTTACATTACACAAATTTATTTATACGTGTAACATAAATATCCCTGACTTCTACAAATATGATGAAATTACAAGTAGACAACAAATCTGTACAATACCAGACTTTGAAGTCAGAATATTAGATGGCTATAATGTATTATTTTAACTGGAACTTAGAGGGCAAGAATTTTTTAATGTGAAAGATAGCTTGGTAAATAATTATTTTGTCTTTAGAACATGTTAAAAAACCAAATGCTTTGAACCACTATAAATTTAAGGAAGATACGAATTTACCCAAGCAAATCGAAAGCAATAATTTTAGTTGATCTGCATAATAATATTTGGGGCTTGGTATTAATAGATATAGATGAGTATATTAGATGCAATTTTAGAGGATATTAGATTGATAACTGCCAAGGAATATTGCTAGAAGATCAGATTATGAAGAAGTCTTTCAAAATACCAGGCAACGTGAAAATATCATGAAGATTTATAGGTAAATTAATATAATTAGAATGATATTATGAGATATTAATATATTAGAAGCAGTGGGAGTGACAACTATTGAATTTATAGAATTAAGTGATTGCATAATATATTATAGATGATAAAAAATGCACCAATAAAATGACATTTGTAGAAATGGTGCCAAAAGGCTTGTATAAACCAATGTTCGTCATGCATCACACTACATGAATGAATGGAGAATTCAGATCCACAGAGCCAACTCCAAATAGTTTGGACGAGGCGGCCTCTATTGATAATGAAGAGGGGACGCATGGATAAATCAATTTATTTTTATTAGCTAAAAATATTTCTTTTGTTTTGATTTGTGTTAGTTAGAGTTCATTTTGAAATTTGAATTTATTTATTTTTACATTGACCGACTTTTGTGAATCATTTTCCTCACCAAAACCCTCAACCGCCGCCCCTTCTGCATGCCAACCCTTTAGTGGGGAAAAAAACCATTTTTTGGATTGGAAAAATTCTTGATATTATTTAACTTCTTTTGAGGGCAATGAATTTTATTTTTTGTCTACTGATTTGAACAAAGCATTTGTTTCTACTAAATTAAGTAAAATCATGTAGGGGCACGTACATGCATAGCACACAATATTATTGTATTTACGTATCTCACGCCTAAACTTTCATATTTACACGCATAGCATTGAAACTATAATATCACATAGAAAATAGCACTATTGCCACCATTTAAAGGTGAAATACACCTTTTCATGCATAAGTTTAAAGCACTAAAGTGCTATCTATGTAAATATGGAAGTTCAGGTGTGAGATATATAAATACATAAGAATTCTGTGCCAGGTATATAAATTTCTGAAACATATAAAGTAATTATTGAATCAGTTTCTCTCATGGCTCCATTTATTTCTGAAAACTCAAATTACAATGTCTGTAAATTCACTGCAGTATCCAGTCTATTTTGCATTTGAGAATGATAAACTTAATTCCATATTAGCTGACATTCGGAGGAGTGATGCTACGGGTCAGCCCGCTTCTGCAACAAGTGGCGGGTAAGCCGAAATAGGAGTCTCTTGATCAGTTTTTGCAGATAAATGTTTGATGCACTTAATGCAGTCACATTTGAGGACTATTTATGTTATTTTATTATTTTGCGCTAGCAAAAATGAATTTTTTGTGCATTGCTGTTGCTTATTCTTTGACAGTTTTAGAAAGAAATAATTTATGCGCAAATAGAATATTTATTTTTCACACTTCTAAGTTGTAAGAATAAAGAAGGATGAGAGAAGAATACCTTTCAACAATTGTTGATTGAAATCTCTGGTGAAATCATGGTTTTGCCTCACAAATTAGTCTTGTTATTTCCCATGTGTTGGGTCATTGAACATTTCCTTACATGCAATCATGATTGAAACTCCTGTGGTTCATGCCAACATCAAAGGATGAAAAATTATAGCAATAACCAGCACATGTACCTTTCTATCACCTACATCTATAGAGCTTTCATCGACTGCAGCAGGTTTAGACTTTAATGCAACAAATCTTCATGTGAGAAGATAAAGTGGGAAAAAGGAGAGAGAAAGAAAGAGAGGAATCCTTGTTCGGATTTATTTCATAACTTGCATTGACATTATGATATCCTTGGATATTTATTGAATCCATACACTAGCCAAGGCAATCATTGTACTGGGAGAAAAAAGTATTGGAATAACCTACAACTGCCCGATAAGCGAATTTGTTGCAAATAATAAACAACATGCAAACACTAGTATATAGATATAAAAAATCATAGTGCAATTTTTTCAAGGGTGGGCTTGTGATGTGGAGTTCACATTTTCAAACTACGGTAATTCGGAAGTAACGTTGCATGGATCAATCCGTCCCAACCCAGCTCCTTCGAAATTTAACCATTTCTTGGGAGCACATTGCAGTTGATCTTGCAAAGAAATCTGAGCCTAGAAAATGCTGCATTTTTTTTTGTCACTATATGGTACTTTTTACCTTAGAGCATGTTGGAATTATTATCATGCATCTGTTTAGCATTGTTTTGAGCATTACTACTTTACACATCTGTTCTCGACTAGAGGCTTATTAGCTAAGAATTTATTTACATTTTACTTCTCTCAGTCATTACTTTATTCTTGTCATAGCAAACAATGCAAAATACATTGTCAGAAGACATTTGAAATCTGTTTCTGAAAAAAAATAAATCTGATGCACGTGTGATGATTTTATGCTCCTTATAAAATAGAATAAATATGCATACTTGAATGCTTGCAGGATGGTTATTTTAAATGAGAAATACGCCAATAATTCTTGTGTTCAGCAGCTTTGAAATTTAGATGGGAAAGTATCATATACCAGGTCAAAATGTGGTTCCATTATTTGTTGCCAGCCATAGCTTTCTGAGGCTTATAGTGACAGAAATGGTGCCTGCTTTTTTTTTCCCGCAATAGCCAATAACTTGCAGTAATTTCCTGTGATGCTTTTAACATTGGGATTAGAGGAGTTCTGAACAAATAAGACATCCCTTGGTTTTACGCCATTGATGAACTAAAGCTGATAGGATTTTAGGCCTGGTGGGTGTTGTATCACATTGTTTCTGATGCAAGGGATCTAAACTTTATGATATTGTAGATTAACCCTTCTTTTAAGTCTAGATCAAGTACCTCAGATCTTTATGGAGAATATCTAATTGGACATGCACAAGTGTTAGACCTCTCTTTTGGGAAGGAGAAAGCGGGTTCTAGATTAAAGAGAAAAGGTAGGTTCTAGATCTTGTGTTTTGATTGGATTTACCTTTATTTGATGAGGAGCGGAATGAAAGTGTTAGACTGGCACGTACGACATCGTCCGCCTCGTTTTTTGTTCTCCATTGAGTCGATGCTGAGACCGCCAAATAACACCTTTATTTGATGAGGAGCAGAATGAAAGTGTTAGACTGGCACGTACGGCATCGTCCGCCTCGTTCTTCGTTCTCCATTGAGTCGATGCTGAGACCGCCAAATAATTTAAAGATTTTTGTTAGGCACAATACTAAAAGGGCAATTTACTCATTTGTTAGTTATTACTCTGGGGTATAACTATGGCTTAATATGTTTAGGGCTATATTATGTGAGTGGTGTTTTGAATCTTAGATTTAGGGTTTGGAAGATAATTACTTTTCTCAAATTGTATATTTATTTTTTATGTATTCGAAATTGTATCATTTTGATATGATACTGATGAAATAAATGCTATTGTTTATGTGGAAACTTGTATCGTTTCTATCAAATTAGTATCATAACAACGATCTAAATTGTTGAGGGATCCTCCCGGTCGCAACGATAGTTTTGTCTCCATTGTGTTGCGCTGCCTTCATGACCGAACCTTGCAATACAATATTTAAGCTAGCTGGGAAGCCAATGACGGCTTCGCGACATCACTTTCGTAACTGAACCTTGCAATAGAGTTTCAATTTGAGCAATTGAGAAGCCAACGACGAGATCGCAGTGTTGCCTTCGTGATAGTACCTCATGATATAGTCCGCGATTCGAGCTAGCTAGGAAGCCAATGATGGGATCACGTCGTGCAAGAGTTTTGCCTTTGTGATAAAAAATTGCCCTGAGAATAATGACAACCAAGAAGTAGATGCTTTGGAGGAGAAATTAGAGAAAAATGTTAGCCAAATCAGATTTGAAAATAAGGAATATTTTTCGTTCATTGAGGGGAGATTCACAACTCTTGAAGAAATGAAGAAAATCGTGAAGCTTCAGGCAAGCCTGCCGCCTCATATCGCAGGATCGAGCAACGACGTATTGAGCGAGCTGCTTTAGGCGGCATCAGGGCAGCGTTATTGCTTTATGCGACATCATGGCAGCATTATTGGTTTAGGTGAATTTGGAGTCGAAAGATTGAGCAAAGGAATTGGGAGCATGCTATATTTAGAAAGATTAACACGATATCAAACAACTTGAACGGGCAACAAGTGGCTAAACTAGACGACGTGCAATTCAAAGTTGGAGAAGATCGATTCGAAGGATTTTAGCCTGGAATAGGGAACCACAGTGGGTGGGATCTTTGTTAATAGTTGCATCCATGGCGCCAATTCCTTTTGTTGCGGCAACTTTCTGGGTGAAATGAATCGAAAGGTGATTCATAAGCTTGTCAGGATGGGCAAGCTAAGTGTAGGGTGAGCTAGACTTATGAAAGAAGAAAAATTAATATGGGCCGAGGAAGGTTTTTACATCTCTTTTTGTTTTAGTTGAATGACCTTCTTAACTTCTGTCCTTTTCAGATTCCTTTTCCTAGTTCACCCTCATTTAGAAAAGCAAATGAAGAAATGAAAGACTGAAAGTTGATAAAAATTAAGAAGAAACAAAAAGAATAACTATGAAAATATTTATCTAGTAAAAAGTCTCTGGACAAAACCAAGAGAAAAGTGGTTTAAAGTGAATGAAGCCATAATCAGCCTGAATAAACATACGAGAAAGATCTTATGAAAAAACATTCATAAACAAACAAGTAGACAACAAGAGAAAAGTGGTTCAAAGTGAATGAAGCCATAATCAGCCCGAATAAACATACGAGAAAGATTTTATGAAAAAACATTCATAAACAAACAAGTAGACAAATCTTTTTTTTTAGTTTTTTTTTTTTTGGGTTAAAAGAGACTTCCTACAACGACGTATTCTCTTGGGCAATTACAACTTGGGGGATACCTAGAAAAACTCACGATAAAATGTGTTGTGTTTGCAATATGAGCTTTGAAGTGTAAGCAACCAACAAGATTTTCTGCAGTATGTGTAGGGGAAGCCTCTAATTGTAATGGCAAATCTAGGCCACCTTGTAGAGTGTGAATCAACATAACCTTACATGAATACCGTAAGTGTAGGCTTGTAGCATGTATGCATTTTGTTAATAATAATATCACTATCATGAATACATTGAGTAACAATCATAGATGAGTTATATGGTATAGTGATTGATTGATGTGATCGTAATAGAGACACCGATGCACTAAATTCAAATTAATTTGATATGAATAAATGTGATGCCTCAGAGACAAACAATATTCTTGCTTGTTGTTTTAAAATTAATATTATACCTGTCATTATGTTAGAAGCTTCACGAGCCTCTTGAGGAGTCATAACAAATGTTTAAGGTGGAATCGTCTCTATGGATTGCTCTTGAGCCCAAGATCTCTGAGGCTAGTACTTCACTATTGATGGATATTGATATGTTGGTGGCGACAACTGATGTAATTGTTATTGCAATCCAGGAGGACGCTGCTAATACAATTGAGGTACTATCACTTGTTGTGGCTGCTACTAGGTTAGGTTAAGAGTAGTGTTAAAATGCTTGTCCTTTGCCATTTTGCTTCTGATGTTAACCTTTATTTGATTTATGTCACTCATTCTTATGTCGCTTGAAGTTATTTTTTTGGTTTATTGTGGATTGAGTTTGGGTCTTGAGAGGGCAATTTATTTTCTTGTGATTGGTGCTATAGCGGCTGAAACACTTGCCAATGGTTAGGTTGCAAGGTCCAGGGTGTCTCTTTTTGTAGAGGGGGCAATTAGACTTGGTTTTTGGCTTATCTCTTTGGTGCTTTTTCTTTTGCTGTCCTACTTGCGCCCAAACATGTGCATTTTTTTGTTTTGTGACAACCTTTTCTTCACAAGCATTAAGTTCTTACTTTGCATGTATTACTTGGTCCACAGACTCTATGTAGGTAATACATTGCACAACAGCAAGTTCTTCCAAATATTCTCTTGTAAGTCAAAAGGAAAATGGTAAATACTCTGATCCTCGTGCTGGCCAATTGAAGGGTATAAATTCCAAAGTTAAGCTTGCTCGTGCTAGAGCACTAATGGGTTGGGTGACCTTTTGCGAAGTTTATTCAACTGAGCAAAATCGTGAGATCATTTAGCCAAAACGTGCGAGATCTTGATGGGTGAGAGTGCGGGCTATTACAAATGATATTAGAGTATTACAGTAGTCTGAAGATGAGAAATACGTGTATGTAGAAGAAAGTGCTACACCATGAGAATCACCTCTTGAACCCAAGATGGGACAAAGTGCTACATAGTGGGAGCCACCTCTTGAATTGGTCTCACTTTAGAATCCTATCTACTTGGTGGATGATTTTAGGTTTAGAATACTGATGAGGATGTCAGTTACTTAAGGGTTTAGAGCACTGTCAAAGACGTCTGTTTCTTAAGTGGGGGAGATTGTGAGATCTCTCAATTAAAATGAAGCCGAACTTTTAAACATCGAGGTGCTTTTTGGTGTAAGAATGAAATTTTGACAGAAACTATGAAGTTAAGCATGCTCGTATGGGAGCACTCATGGGATGGGTGACCTCTTGGGAAGTTATACCATTGGGACAAAACTATGATGCTATTAGGCCAAAGCGGATAATATTTTGACGGGTGAGAGATCGGACTGTTATACCATATAAGTCAGAGCCTTTCACCTAGCGTTAGATTTGAAGTTGCAATATAACTAAGGAAAATTTACATACATACCACACAATTCTTATGCTTTTACATATCTAAGGCCTATAGTTTCATTTTTACATTTATAACACATTGGTATCAAAAAACTATGCATGGAAATGTGTATTTCACTTTTTAAAAGTTAGGGATAGTGGTAATTTTGATGTGATATCAAAGACTTGAGTGTTATGTATGGGAGTTACACAATTTGTATTCATTTACATATCTAAGGCCTATAGTTTAATATTCACATTTATAACACCTTGTTATTAAAAAATTATGCATGAAAATGTGTTTTTTCACTTTGAAAAAGGAAAATTTACATACATACCACACAGTTCTTATGCATTTACATATCTAAGGCTTATTATTTGATATTTACATTTATAAGACCTTGGTTTTAAAAAAAACTATGCATGAAAATGTGTATTTCATTTTTAAAATGTTAGGGATAGTGTTATTTTTGATGTGATATCAAATATTTGAGTGTTATGTATGTAAATATGAAATTTTAGGTTTTAGATATTTGAATGTATAAGAACTGTGTTGTTAGTATGTAAATGTCCCTATGATTAAATGAGAAACGTGATGTTGCAGACATCCAAGTTTACTCATATTTTTGTGACTTGATGTCGGTTGGCTTTGACTTTGATTTTAGGTTGAAAAGAAATAGCTGAACCATTTCAACATCAGCTTCTTTTTTTATTTTTTTTAATTTTTAAATCAAACAAGCTCCAGAAGAATTGAAAACCATAATTAAGTTAAAGGAGGTCTCCCTTTTTTTCCCCTTATATCCCTGATTTTTTTATCTTCTCTTATTCTGTTCTGTTTCTTGCCTTTGGATGTAATTGTGTTATGTCCATGAAGTTTTGTGCACTATTCCTTATTAAGACGATAATTATTTTAAACAGCTATTGTTTCTCAAGTAATATTCTTCTTCTCTAATATATGCTTTAAACTTTTTCTAATTGACTGCATTCTGATTTGTTTCAGATACAAGCTGGTTGTATCATCGTGGGAGCCTAAGAAAGTTTCATCACCTACCATCACAAATATTCAGGTCCAAGTTTACGTTCTTTGAGCATTAAAAATAGCATTTTTTAATGTTAAACTTTGAGTTATTTTCTTAGTAATAGTGATAAATTACAAGCAAAATTTCCTCGCTGATTTGAGATTTTCAGTCACTTAAAATGGATGAATCATGGTTATGTAGTTGTTGAAAGTGATATTTGGTGCTGTTTCCCTGATAATTAATAGAAATATTTACATACATACCTCTCTGTTCCTATGTATTTACATATCTAACACCTAAACTTCAATTTTTACATACATGTCACCTTACCTATGAAAATGTGTATTCCACTGTTTAAAAGTTAAAATGGTGGTATTTTTGATGTGATATGAAAGATTTGGGTGGTGTAAATGTAAAAAGCAAAGTTAACGTGTTAGATATGTAAATACATATAGGAATTGGGTCGTATGTTCCCAAATTAAATTGTTCAATTTTTCTTTAGGTTCCTTTTGCTCGGCAATGCTGCCTAGAGAAGCTGCCAAGCTTCCTTTGTTCTTGGCTGTGTCGTTGCGTAGTATCCTTGAAGGTCCCTTATTTCATATAACAAGGATGAAAAGATGCCTGCCACTGCATTAGCATATCGATACCATGCATGACATGGAAACTTGAGATCTCACACTGGGCATGGACTATCATGTCAATCAAACCGCTAGGGGCCATTTGGGATTACTTTTGTTTTTTATTTTCTTCTTTTTTATTTTTATTTTGTTTTATTAATTTGAGCAAAGCATATTTGACATATTTGATTATGGTATGATTGTTTTTAAAGACACTCAAAATACCCAAAAGTTGTTTTGAGTATTTTTAAATACATGTTAATTTGTTTTTAGAAGCAAAATATAAAAATATATAAAAAAACACACTAAAGAAATATGTTTTTAAAAATAGAAGGAAAAAAAAAAATCCAAGCATGCTTTTCATTTATTATGCGAGTTTTTGAAATCTGCTTGTTATGCAGTTAACCCATCAATGACATTTTCTTGAGCTCTAAATCTATACAATGAATGTGCAATGGCATTTTCTTGAGCTCTAAATCTATACAATGAATGTGAAAGTGAAATCGGCTTAGTTTACAAAAATCTTTTTGAATTCTTGTTCTCGATAGATGTACTGCCCTTGAAAATATACCAAGAAGGAAGAGCTTGAAAGTTGTTGTTCACTATTTGGATTTTTTGTTTTTTAAATATAGATGAGATTCGACCCTAGGACAATGGCACCATCTGTAAAAAAAAATTTAGGGAAGTTTACATACCCAGCACACAATTCTTATTTATTTACATATCCCACACCTAACTTTCAATTACATACCTAGCGTTTTGGTGCTTTGAACCTAAGCATGGAAAGGTGTATTTCACTTTTAAAAAGTGTTTGTAGTGCTATTTTTGATGTGATAATAAAGATTTGAGTGCTATGTGTGTGAATATGAAAGTTTAGGTGTGAGATATGTAAATAAAATAGAATTGTGTGCTCTGGTTGTAAATGCCCCAAGTTTTTATCAAAGAATTGGATTTCACGGTGCATATGAGACATTTGATGACCACAATGCTTGATATGAACTCCCACTTCAGTGACTTTACAATTTTTTTTTATAATTTTTGTAAATAAGGTTCGGTGGGTCTATAAAACTTGGTTCTTAGTACAACAATAAATATCTGTTGTTGCTATTTTTTTGAGTAGTTCTAATCCTTTGGACATGTAAGCGAAATAAGCTTAGTTCATTAAAATCCTGCTAAGTTCCTTTTTTCAGGAACTTTTATTCCGGAGAAAGTCCAACAGACTTACTGTCCTGAAAAATATAATAAAAATGAAGAGCTCAAAGATGTCTGTTTTTCATTTAGAGTTGGATTTCACTGTTCAATGAGCAATGTGGAGCACGTGTGCTTGATGTAAACTCCCCTATAAAATTCTTTTATAGTTCTTGTAAATATTTGCATTGGACAGCATGTCTGTAAGGCCTAGTATTTGATACATTGGTAAAGGTTTTTTATTGTTACTTTTTTGGGCATTTACCTAGACAGAAGACAATTTATATGTATTTACATATCCCACACCTGAACTTTCATTTTTACACACATCTAATCTTTAATGTCACATAAAAAATAGCACTATTACCACTTTTTAAAACTAAAATACACCTTTTCATGCCTAGTTTTAAAGAACCAAAGTGCTATGTATGTAAATATGAAACTTTAGGTGTGAAATATGTAAATACATAAGAATTGTGTGCTACATATGTAAGGTTCCCTTGCTTTTTCTTGAGGATTGCCATATCTTTATGCTTTTCTCATCATTATATGTTAGGTAATATAGTTCATGAGTATAGCCAGTTTTACCCTGCACTGATGCATTGATCTTGACAAGTCATCCATAGCTTTAGCTAGGGGTATAATTGAGCCAAGCCGACTCGGGCTTGACTCGATACGTGGCTCGTGAGCTGAGCTCAATGAGCTAACAAGGCAAGCTCAAGCCAGCCATGACTCAACCCATCTGCTCATGAGCCGGATTGTTTAAAAAAATATTAATATTAAATATACTCAGAATATATTAAAATTTAAGACTTTAAAGTCAATGGTGACTTGAGCCCTACTTGACTTGTTTACACCCCTAGCTTTAGTAATTTTAGGATTAGGAAATGTACATTCGGGAATTCTGTTGCAGTTTTTCCTTAACTGAGTTTTATTTTGATATTTTCGTTGCAGGGATGGTTGCCTGGGCTAAAAGAGGATGATTCTGCCAATCAATTACCTACAATTGCTATAATTGCATCCTATGATACTTTTGGTTCAGCCCCGGTAAGTTCATCTTAATCATTTTTTAATCATTTTTGGTTGAAACTTAAAGTTGTGCTGCTGTTTTATATGTTAAGGCAGGCACTCTCAGTCGGGAGTGACAGCAATGGGAGTGGAGTTGTGGCACTTTTGGAAATCGCACGTCTTTTTTCACGTCTTTATTCCAATCCAAAGACGAGAGGGAGATATAATTTACTTTTTGGCCTGACTTCTGGTGGACCTTATAATTACAATGGTACTCTTAAGGTCAACCTCCTGCTTCTTTAAATGTTAACGATAGTTACTAGGAGCATTTACGTACATACCACTGAATTTCTATGTATTAACATATCTAAAACCTAAGCTTTACTTTGTACATTGACACTACTAAAATATTTCATATCATATCCAACAAAACCACCATTTTAACTTTTAAGAAGTAAAATACTCCTTTTTATGCATCGGCAATATGCCATTTACCTAAAACTTATAATTTAGTTGTTAGCTATGCAAATACATAGGAATTTAGTGGTATGCATGTATATCTTCCTAAATGCTATGCCTTCATGATAAATTTTTAGCATTTTTACTAGTGCTATGAACTCTATTCTTTCAGTGGCTAAGAAGTTTTGATCAGCGTGTAAGAGAGAGCATTGACTATGCCATTTGTTTGAATAGCATCGGCTCTTGGGACAATGAGTTGTGGGTTCATGTATCAAAGCCACCAGAAAATGCCTATATAAAACAAGTGTTTGATGTAATTCAAGAACAGAATTCATTTTTTTTTTTAAATTTACTGAGTAATTCTGTTTTAATAAAGAATTATCTTTCTTCTTTCTGTTGAACGTTGAATGGCAGGGTCTTTCAGAAGTTGCTCAAGATATGGGAGTCAAAATTGGCATAAAACATAAAAAAATTAATATCTCAAATCCTCGTGTGAGCAATTTCTTAAATTTTAACCCTCAGCATTTCCTTACTGTCATTTTTTTGGTGGCTGAAGTTTAAATTGCTTATGAGTACTTCAATATTTTTTAATTCATTTTTTATTTAATTGTGTCCCTAAGCTTGCTCTTTCCTAATGGTATCGATTTGGGTGATTTATTCTGATTCATATGCCTTTTTGCTTTATTTCATAACTAGTTCGCGGTTGTCTGTCTATTCGATGAGAACAACCACAAACAAGAAAATCACTTTTTATTTAATTGTGTCCCTAAGCTTGCTCTATCCTAATGTTATTGATTTGGGTGATTTATTCTGATTCATATGCTTTTTTGCTTTATTTCATAACTAGTTCGCGGTTCTGTCTATTCGATGAGAACAACCACAAACAAGAA